TGGCCTAGTTTTGGATTTCTAGGCCACCAACTTAAAATGGTCATAACTCGCTTCAAAATCGATATTTTTCGAATCTAAGAAATCTAAGAACTGACATGGAACTCTCAGAACATGCTCTATCGAACCATGTACACCATGGCCTAACTTTCGGAAATTTGGTTTTCTAGGCCACCAGCTGAAAATGGGCATAACTTGGCTCTGCTATGGAACTCTCAAAGCCTGTCCTTTCGAATTATGTACATCATGGCCTAGTTTTTACAAAATTTGGGTTTTTAGGCCACCATTTCGAAATTGGAAAATTAGGCCATGTGCATGGTTTCGAAAACCATGGCTTAAGGGTTCCAAATCAGTTTTCAGATTTGAAAAATAACGACTTCGAAGCGAGTTATGGTCAATTTAGTTTGGTGGCCTTGAAATCTAAAACTAGGCCAGATCGTCCCAAATTTTAACGGGTTTCAAAGATCATAATCTAAGAGTTTCATATCCGTTTTTAAATTTTGAAAATGTCGATTTTAAAGCGAGTTATGGTCATTTTAATGTGATGGCCTAGGAAACCAAAATTTGGCCATATCGTCCCAAACTTGAAATTACCATAACTCGCTTCGAAATCGATATTTTTCAGATCTGAAAACTGATGTGGAACTCTGAGAGCATGCTCTTTCGAACCATGTATACCATGGCCTAACTTTTTGAAGTTTGGATTTCTAGGCCACCAACTAAAAATGAGCGTAACTCGCTTCAAAATCGATATTTTTCGAATCTGAAAAAGGTACCGTAACCCTCTCTTACCTGTCTTCAAACCACAATAGAACTCATCCAACACCAGACTCAACGATCTGCTCAAATCGTTCATATAGCTGGATCGATTGTCCTCCAGAGCCTCATCAAATCGCTCAAAGTCTTGCATCCATTTCAGCGCGAACGTCGGTTTCACAATATCCGCTTTGTTGAAGACGACGATGAACGGAAGTTTGGTACGGTAGAGAATGGAGCACGCGTAGAGCATATTCGACATGAACGTCGTCGGATTTGTGGCACGTGCCGAGTCCACAATGTACATCACGACCTGGAAAATTCGAAAATTGCGGTTCTGAGACAGAAAATGCGCTAAAAATGAGCAAAAACAGCCAAAAAGGTCACTTTTCCAGCTGAAAATCGATCCAGAAACCTCAAAAATAGCTCGAAATTTGAAATTTGGGTTTCTAGGCCATCAAACGATATCTAGAATGGTCTATATACCCTGAAACCAAGCGGTGGCCTAGAATCCCAGTTTCTAGGCCACCAAATCATCTTGATGGCCTAGAAACCCAAAATTTGTGTTCTAGACCGTCTAGGCCATTGGTGGCCTAGAAAACCAGTTTCGGACTTCTTGGCCATTAAGAAAAGCTCTCTCAACCTCTAGGATTCTACAATCAAGCGTTGGCCTAGGAAAAAAAATCCATTTCTAGGCCCCCAAACTCGTTCACCCACGCTGATGGCCTAGCTTTTCGAGTGTTGGCCTAGAAATTCAAATTTCATAAAAGTTAGGCCATGATGTGCGTGGTTCAAAAGAGCATGTTCTGAGTGTTCCGTATCAGTTTTTAGATTTGAAAAATATCGATATTGAAGTGAGTTATGACCATTTTATGTTGGTGGCCTAGAAATCCAATTTTCGAAAAGTTCGGCCATGATGTGCATGGTTCGAAAGAGCATGATTAGAGAGTCCCATGACAGTTTTAAGATTTGAAAAGCATGGGTTTTGAAGCGAGTTATGACTATTTCAACTTTTGGGACGATATGGCCTAGTTTTGGATTCCTAGGCCACCAAACTAAAATGGCTATAACTCTCTTCAGAATCGAAATTTTTCAAATCTGAAAACTGACGCGAAACTCGCAGAGCATGATCTTTCGTACGATGTACATCATGGCCTAGTTTTCGCAGAATTCGGATTTCTAAGCCACCAAACTAGGATGGCCATAACTCGCTTCAAAATCGTTATTTTTCGAATTTGAAAACTGTCTTGAACGTGACAAGATGTGGCCAAACTTTTCATATGCTGAAATCCTAGACCATGGCTTGATTTCGGGAGTTCTAGGTGGCCTAGAAACTCAAATTTCGAATTTCATGCTGTTCAGAAGGTCATTTTCAGCCGATTTTAAGCGATTTTAGACCAATTTACAGGCAAAATTTTGAATTTCAAGCTATTTTAGTCATGTGCAGGCGATTTTCAAGAGGTTTTCAAGCTATTTCAATGCTATTTTCACTCATTTTGACCATTTTCAGCGGATTTTCAGATTCACCCTACCGTTGGATGCGAACTGGCCAACGAGTCGGTGATAATGGAACCACTTGCACTCCAAGTGAACGCTTCGATTTGCCCAGGTGTATCCAGAAGGCAAACCGAGAAATCATCAGATCTCTTATTGATAAGCTCAATCACTTTATCAAAACGAGTACACATCAAATTGAGACATGTCATGATGGCTCCGTGGGTCCCATTCCGAACTCCTTCATCACTTCCTTGTATTTTACAGTATCCCTGATGTCCACATTCACTGGGTACGGTACTTTTGTCACCGCCGGATCCAGATTTATCACGTAGGGAGGCGTCTTGCGAGCGTGCAGGTAGGCGGTGAGGCGCTGTAAAAGTTCGAAAATTCAGAATCTAGAATCTGAAGAATAACGATTTTGGGAATTTCTGAAATTTTGAATTTTCAGAAAATTAAAATTTTTGGATAGTCAGAAAGAGGATTTTCAGATTTTTTTCAAAATTTTATGTTTTTCAGAACTTCCAGAACGTCAGAATTTCAAAAAAAATGTTGGCCTAGGAATCCAAATTTTCGGAAAACTAGGCCATGGTGTATATAGTTCTAAAGAGCATGCTCTGAGAGTTCCGTATCAGGTTTCAGACCCGAAAAATATTCATTTTTAAGCGAGTTATGGCTCTTTTAGTTTGGTGGCCTAGAAATCCAAATTTTGTGAAAACTAGGCCATCAAAAAATTTTTTTCGGAAATTTCGAATTTCTGGAATTTCAAAAAATTTCTGAAATTTCGAAACATGGAAAATCTAGAAAATCGAATTTTCAGAAATTCGGAAATTCAGAATTTTTTGATTTTCAGAAATTTTGAATTTTGAAAAATCTAGAATTTTCAGGAATTTCATAATTCTCGAATTCTGGAATTTTTGAAAATTTGAAAACGTTAGAATTTCAAATTCCAGAATCCTGGAATTTTCGAATGTTTGGAATTTCGAAATTTCTCAAAAATTCAATTTTTCCAAAAACGTTTTTTTTTCAAAATTTTCAGATTTTCTATAATTTCAGCCCTGGCCACCTGCACAAAAGTCGTTTTTCCACTTCCAGCCATTCCCAAAACCAGAACCGACGGTTTTTGTGCCAAATTTGGTCCCGTCTGGGTGACTGCAATTTCTGGAATTTCCGATGAAGACGGCTGTTGATTTTCAGCAGACATTTCTTTTCCTTTTTGGCTGGAAAATCCAAAATTTCACTGAAAAAGCTGAAAAAT